TGGGAGACGATGTTTAGTATCGATTCAATTCTAAGCAAGAAGTAGAAGGAAGCTCGTCAAGTTATTAGACATGTGCTGGCATAGTCGACGGAAGGACCCACTTGAATGCAATCAGCTGCATTCAAGGCTTGCATTCGCTGTTTCTTAAGAGCTTTAAAGATTCTCCTCTATGTGCCTATCGATTTTTACTTTTCTATTCTGTATCCACTTGTTAGAAGAGTGCGAGTGTACTGACTCGGGACACATAGAAGAAGTCAATTTTACGACTTTCTCGCTCGTTCGATTTCATAGCATCGTCAAAAGGAACGTTAACGAGTCCTAGTCATTATTTTCATGAAAAAGTTTAATCAAATTAGTGTTAATTAAAAATGATTAAACAGATGGTAATTAAAGTTGATATGTACTTTGGTTGACTATCACATGAAAGGGTTCTGTTCATTTGTGTTGGTCAGTTGTTATCAGTGATCAAAATAAGAAGAAGAAGAAGAAAAAGAGGAGGAGAAAGATGGTGGTTGGTAGAATCAAAGAGAGTGGACCGAGCGAGTCTCGGATAGTTTCACACGGGAAGTCGTCACTCTTTCTCTCTTAAGAAAGAGAGAGAGAGAGAGAGAGAGAGAGGATTGTTTTCACAGACGCGTCTTCGTTCGCGCCTGACTTCGACACCCGCTGACATCGGCGAGATTGAAAACGGTCACCCAGCTAACAAGCTCTCCGCAGTCAACGTACCTTTCCTATCGAGTTTTCAAATCCGACATTCGATCCCCTTCGAGCTACGACCAGTTAGCTGCCCAATTTTTGTACTTCGACTAGAATAGCAAACAAACAAAAAGTAGCCCGAGTTAGGTGTCGTGTACAAGATGAAGTATGGTCGCTCGGTTAGAATCGATTTGCTACAGTTGCCATTGGTTTCTTCCAAGAGAATCTTCATAGAATTTAAATAGAAGCTGAGTCAACAAACTATTCGATTCTCAATTATTTTTATTATTTTCAAAGATACTTTGTGCGTATTTTTGTCTATACGAAAGTAAGATGATTTTTATTTTATTTACGACTAAATGCAAATTAACTTTCGAGGATTTTCATTATAGCCAAAACCATGGACGATATTCGGTGTATATAAATTGTTGCTGACTCAGCCTATACTTCTCAAAGATAGATAGAGATAGAGAGAGAGAGAGAGAGAAAGGTTATTACAAAGTTTAAGCGGAACGAAGTCGATCTCGTCTTCTCGTAAAAGGAACCCGACGAGGTATCGAGATAATCTAGAAAGATAACTTCGACGTACATACATACATACATAGAGATCGTTAACGATCTGCCAAGCGGATCTGCCAAGCGGATCTGCCAAGTGGATCGTTGGCGGAAAGCTCAGAGGGCGTTTACCTTCGGTGCGAAGAATGGTTTCCGGTGTGGAAGATGCGAAGGGTAACGAACCACAGTATCCGGTGTCCAGATGCTCGTATCCGTTTACCATTCGTACACGGAGGGTGGTCACGTTATCCTCGTCCTTTCTTTTTCTTCTTCTTCTTCTTCTTATTTTCTTCGTCGTTGTTGTCGTCGTGCAACTCCTTGTTTCTTGTCACGATCCGCTCTTATATATAAACCACTTTCGGTATGTACAAATCAACAAAGATAGAAAAAGAAAGTAATATGCTTTTCCAAAAATAAATATTGTTAATTGTGCGAGGACAACAAAAATTCAAGACAAGGGGGTGTGTTAATAAGAAATTTCAATGGAATATTTTTTATTCGTGCTGCAAGATAAGAATTTTTACGAAAATTTATGATATAATTGAATTCGATTATTCGTCAATGTTTACTGCCATTTAACAAGTACATTTATCAAAGTATATACGTAATATCAATCATACACGCTCACGTAGACATTAACGCGTATCGTCATCGTTTGGTATAATATATAATTATCTCTTTCGAATTTCTCTCTCAAAATAATGATCGATTATTAACTGTGAGATGATAATTAAGAATTGTCAGTATTGGATATTCGAATGATTCGATTGAATATATTGATGTAAAAGATGTTGGAAATGATTGTTATTAATTCAATCAAAATTTCCTATTCCACGAATAAAATATGAAATTGTCAGAGAATGACGGAGAACTAACAATTTTCTCAACGGTAGGTCTTCGGAATCATATTCCCGCAAAACAAGGTGCATGTAATGAAATTTAATGCCGCTTTCTCTCTCTCTCTCTCTCTCTCTCTCTCACAACTCCTTTAATAGCTCTTCAGATTGATTCATCTTCGATCTGTTTTTGCTGAAAATATTCCCTCCTATCCACGCGTCTTGATTCATCAACGTCAAACCGAGGACAACGTGGACACGTCGTGGATTTGCTAACGTTATGCGTTTATGATGAAAAATTAGTAATCGTAAAAGTTATTTCAACGTCCTCGGAATTTTTACCAACTACTTTTATTTTTCTTTAATCATTCGAACATCTCTCTTCGATCATCATTTTCTTCTTCTTCCTCTTCCTCCTTATCTTCTTCTTCTTTTTCTTTTATTCGATATCCTAGAGAGAGATCATCGATCTACCGAGAACACCTACGGCGAATCGAGTTTATTTTTTGCTTAAATCCATACTGAACTCGAACGCGTGACGATTCAATAAGTTGAAGATATTTCAAATAAAAACTTGAAATGAAACTCATCCCGACTGCGGTCAGTTACGTTCGTTTGATTTCTCCGAGTAAAAAAAAAGAAAGAAAAAAACAAATTACAATGAAAGAAATAAATAAATGAAAATAATATAACGATACTATGATCAAATATAAAACATAATGAAGCTATTAAAAAGGGGTCCGACAGGAGGTAGAAATATTAATCGCGTCGATACGATTATCGTCGACGCGATTATCGTCGATGCGATTATCGTCGATGCGATTATCATCGATGCAATTATTCGTGCAATTAGTCGTACGTCAGAATAACTCGGTGAGAGGCGCCAAGGATAGGTGTAATCTGATGGTTCGAGATATCTCCTCAACACGCTATGACATAGCACTGCTGCACGATTGCGCCGCCAAACTTATTTACTTTCTTCAATTTTCCCCACTAGCGCGGAATTTTGGAGAATGCATAATTTATTATCTCGCGAAAACATCATTTATTATATTAAATATTATGTTTACATACTTTTGTAATATCCGAAGAGAAAGCGCCCCTCGCTAAAAATCCTACGATTGAATGCACACAAATTCATCTATAAAATGACTTGTAACATATGATGATAAGATACAGAAGTTATATCACTGATAAGTATCTTTGGTGGTAAGGCTAACGGTTGATCAAAGAGATAGTATACGGCAACACGCGCTAACAACTATGTCCTGTCTACGTTATCGTTAGCAATGATAATATCATCTACGATTTATTACCATTTTATCTTGATTTTCTATTTAAATTAACATTAATATAATGAACTTATTAGTACTCGCAAAAAAAGAGAAGCAGTTTGACTTAATGATGAATCTATTCGATTGGAAAAAATGTCAATGATTTCGTTAATGTTTCTTCTTACCGAAGACAGGTGTAAGAAATTCAGCAAAGATGCGGCAAATCGTTTCGGGTCCGGCCTCGAGTCAGTCAAAGGGTCAGCTCGAGCTAAGTCTTGGCCGTATGTATCATAAATTGACACGAGAGAATAAAATCGAATTCTTAATGGCAGCAAGTGTACGAAGCGAGTGATATATTGCGATGGTCAGGGTCGAGTAAGGTTTGTGGTACGAGTAAGAGAAAGATCGAGGGTGAGTAGGAGAAGAAGAAGGGGTCGTCCTTGCCCGCAGCTCCGAACTGGTTATGTCAAACAGCCGAGGAACGTGTTGTTGCCCTAACATGCTTTCGAGCCTGCTCTTTCGACGTGTAGGCATTCGCGGGATGATCTGAACGTGTCTCTCTAAATGCTAGCTTTTTTTACTAGCCTACTTCCGGCTCCTCGATCGTCCATCACCAAGTCGCATTACGTGTCTCTTCCCATCGTTCGGTTAACAATCATGCTTCTTCTTTCACTCCGATTTTTTCCTTTTCTTTATTCTCCCTTCATTTCGCGAGAATCGATCGAGCGAGCGAGTTATACCCGACTTTCCGGTATCCGTTCATTTTATTATTTTCTTACGTGTACGCCGATTCCTGACAACGCTCGAATATTTACCAAGTTCCTTACAAAAATTTCCATCGCAATTGCTATAATTATTTGTGCTTCGGTTGTGCCTCGATCAATTATTTATTATGTCCTTTTTATTATTGGCTTTCAATTGAATTCATTTACATTGAAAATTCCCCAACAATATTTTCATATATTTCTTTTTCCCATTCGGTTAATTATTAACAAATTTATATCTTACAATTAAATAGATTTCTGTCACCCTTGACATATTTTCTCGCATGGTACGCGAAAGATATCGTAATTAGCGCTAATTAAGAAAGAGAAAGAAAATCAAAGAAATTCATTCGTGCGTACGAAAGTATATCCACGAAATCTGATGAATTTATGGAGTCTCCAAATGAAGTCAATTAAAATACGAGAACCGGTTTTATTAAGTTCGAGACCGTTAATCCTATAGTTAATTAAATCTTATAAACTTTGAACTAAAGATTTGCATATGTTGCTGCTACTCCCCCCCACCCCACCACCACCACCCTTCTCTCTCTTTTTTATCGATCTTGAAATCTTTCTATTTATGCAGGACAAATAGGATAAACCAAATAGTCATGGCCATGGGGGGTGAATCATTGGGATAGTATTCGCTGAAAGTCGTTTCACGTAATTAACGTTACTAATTAACGTCCCAACACATCCGGAATAATTATAGCCGACACAAAACTTTGATCGAGTATCTACGCTTCCTCGTTTGAACTTTTCATACTCTCACATATCTTACATTCAATTAGGTATAATAAAATTATAAACTATCGCATTTGTTAATTATTTGATCTTATTTTTTGGTAATATTTTTTGTCGTTGTGTTGTTACAGGTGAACGTTCGTTGATAAATCAAAAGGATGTTCGCCAGACTTTGCAGACAAGCTCCAAACGGTAAGTCGAAAACGTTTAATCATTGTCATTAGAAATTCTATATATAATACTTGTTAATTATATAATCACAAAAGTGATCATATTGATACGAGGAAGCTGTTAGTCGAAGCAGGGTCTCGTCTCTCTCTCTCTTTCTCTTTCACCCTCATGGTTATGAACTTACTCGCAAACAATGGTAGAACTCTCACGGCGATATATCACTCTTGACTTCGTGAATACCTTTTACAGATCGTGCATTGTACCTTTTAACGTTGAACTCGGAGTAAAAGAACATTGAGAGATGATTTATAGACTTTACTTTTATATCTTTTTTTACCTTCAAATTCGTAACACTGACTGAACTTTTGAACTTTTATAGATAAGGAAAATTAGATGAAAATAATTATCGTTGGAATAATTGGGAGTAACGTTCGTTGGCTCGATTCCAATATCAATGTTGCCATTTTTATTAGATCGACAGGATTTGGAAAATTGAACAATCCGAGCAAGTTAACAAATTTAACTATAGTAGATGAAGAAGAAGAAGAAGAAGTTATGTTGCACTTCCGTATGCATACGACTGGGGGCGGCCCTTTAAGTGGTAGCCATGAGCAGCTTGTTGAACACGCCTTAACCTCTGTGATCTTGACTTTGCGGCTTGTCTTAGGCATAAGACTGGAGATGGTAGTTATTAATACGAAGAATCTGCATAAGCCATCTTCTCTTTGAGTCTCCTTAACGCTCTTCGTATGTCCGTAATAGCTTACCGAGCTAGCTAAGAGGATAATCTTTAAATTTTCCTAATATTTTCTTTTCTATACCTTTTCGTATCATTTCTTTATCATCATGCAACAAAATATTTGGAAATATGATATTGCAGTCGTTGCAATTGGCAAATCATTCTTTTTCCAATGATTTACAGCCAATTGTTTACAAATCTAAATTGTTATTTTACCGTTAATCTGTTTGAATTTCATATGAAATTTGTTCCGATCCAAAAATCGATACGAACAAGTTAATTATCATCGACTGTTAGCCCTGACTGTTACGGAAACTTTTCGAGGATCTTAGGGTTCGCGTGTCGAGGTCATGGTGGTACCAACCAAGAGGCGTGGGAACGGGAAAGTCGTTGATGCTTTTAAACTCTCGAATTAATTTCTTTTTCTTCTTCACTGGGTGTAAGAATGGGAAGGAAGATTTTCGAGTCTGAAATTGGCATTTATGTTAAAACCTTCGAAGAACTATTCCAAAATTACGAAATTAACATAACGAGACTTATTATATAAATTAAGTGAATCAGTTTGTTCAACTAACAAAATCTTTTTTTAAATAATAAAAGCATTAAAATTTAACCCCGATTAGATTCGTTCAAATGAATTTGGAATAATTATAAATATTCGTTGACTTTTGTACGAGTATGAGAGAAAGAAGGGGGGAGAGAGAGAGAGAGAGAGAGAGAGAGAGAGAGAGAGAGAGAGAGAGAGAGAGAGAGAGAGAGAGAGAGAAATTGTAGCTTTCGCAAATGTAGGTTCCTCGGTCATAAATCTAATCCCTAATAACCGTAATTATTCTCATTATCCTCGCCGAAAGGGTAGAGAAAAAGTATCCTCTATCGGCTGAGAAAGAGAAGAGAAATAATTATCCGTCTGCTAATTAAGTCATCATCTTGAAAGAAAAAGTAATGTCGTCGGTGGTTCGAGGAGGCCCCCATTAGCGTTAGAAAGTTGCAAACGTTTAACACTTAATTCCATGACTCCGGAGACATTCCGGCATTCTGAAATCCAGAATTAATGTACCAATTAATAGCTTCATCGGTGGGGTACTACCTTTAACAGTTCGAAATTATTATGTTGTTTTCCAACGGACATGCCATGACATTATGAAATTCGAAGTAGCACCATGAACGTTTATGGTCAAAGAAGGACAATCGAGTGCTATCATTCGAAAGAATATAAATTCAGCGATTTTATATAATGCGGAATTTTTCAAGTATCCAACTTGTTTATATGGTTTGTATCTTTTTATTTTATTTTTCGATCGTCCATTTTCATTTGGCAAGTTTCTTTTTGTTCATTCTTTTTCTTCCTTTCGAAGATAATATTGAAAGTTCGATAATTGTTAAAATCCATTTTTATCTTTGTACAGGATTATCATCAACTCGAGATTATGACGACGAAGAGAAAGTCGAAGTAAGCCTTAGGTTAAAAGAGGGAAGAGAAGGAGGGGAGAGAAAGAGTAAAGAATATCACCCTGGAACTCCTTTCTCTCCCTCTCTGTGGAGTCTGTAAAATCTTCGGTGCCGCTTAATTAGCATGCTAATTAGTTGTACGAACCCCACGGCGAGTATACGAGAAAGAACATCGCTTGTTTCTAAGTGATAGGACTTCGTGATCGATTTGCCAAAGTTCACAGCACGGTTCCCACATTGGCGATTTTATTGCCGAGTCTAAAAGCAATCCAAAGTAATAAATGAATCGTTTAATCGCGATATTGCGCTTGCTTATTATTTATAGATTTAATAAATGTAATTATACACATGGCAAAAATTGATTACCGATCTTTACAACAAAGCAATGATTTTTGATTCCGTTTCTCTCGCGATGCTTATTCAAAATGATAAATTATGATTCGTTAGGTAATATGTTGGAAAACACCTTTGAAAATGAACGCGTCACGTAGTTAACATTTAAATCGATGGTAAAGTTTACGATAGGTAAAACCGCAACGTTTAGGATGGAAAGAAAAAGGAAAATCCTAGTGGTACGAAGTTCTCGTAAAGAAGTTAAGTCACGACGTGTTCTGCACACGCACGATCATTAAGTCTTATCTCTATATACTATAGGAAGAGGAGGAGGAGGAGGAGAACGAGGAGGAGAAACGCCACTTAAATATGGTCTTTAATGCTACGAACGGTGCGAATGAGACTGCGATACGGTACAGTCGTAGACTCCAATTTAACTACGAAAACACGTTCAATCAATTAGAAAAATACAATTCCGTTTTATAATAATATTCTCGTTACACACACGCGCAACTTTCGGAAAGTCATATAAACAATATTGAATAAAAGTAATTTTCTAAAAGACAATGACTCACTTCAACGGTGAATTTCGAACGGGACGGTACATAGATCATATATTCCTAGCTTTTAAACAACAATAGACATTTCTATCGATTAATTGCCAATTATTTGAATACTCTAATGCACTCTCTTTATATTTCAGTTTATTTTAACACATATGTACTAGTTCAAACATTATATTGTAAAGTTTATCGGGTTGTCGCGTGGCACGAAGAAAGAAAGTGATGTTCCCTTTAGGGTCACGAAGTTGTTCGGGTTCGAATCGAAAAGGAAGGAAAATAAGGTAGAAATTGTTAGGTAGGTCTCGGCGTGGCCGGGTTTAAAAGCTGGGCGAGACAAAACATTGTCCGCTCAGCGGGACACGATGTTTAAAGAGATGGGAATGGCCTGTGGAATAAGGTGTGTGCTTCAAATTGATTTGTTGTAAGTGATACACCACCCTCGGCGAACGAATGGCACAATAATTGGCTACATAAACAATGACCGATGAAACTATTTCTCATGTCGGCTCGTTTATATGCGGAAACTCTCGTATGTATGATACAACACAGATCTTCTCCTTGCTATCTTCTTCTTCTACTTCTTCTTCTTCGTGCTCGTGTTCGTCTTGGACCTGTTACACGGATTATCCGCTGATATCGGATCGTTTCTACCAAAGTAGCGATTGCCCGCACGCGAGGGAACGATGTTCTTTCAGACTCAATCAACTCTGATCATCTTCAGATCGAGAATCGAATCATTAAAGTCCAACAAGTTAGACCTCGGACGAGATCTTGCGGCAATCGTATACATTACACACAATGTCTTACAATTTTAAATCCTTCCTGGTAACCATGGAATAGAAGATGAGGTTAGTCTCTTAACGGATCGATCATTTGCGATCCACAATTTCTTCCAATTGATTACGCTTACTATAGGTATACGTGTACGTAAGAGTATGGTAATCAATTTATCAGACTAGCGATATCCTTCGAATTTCAAGTTGAAATTTCAGCTCATGCTGATTATCAACGCATTGTAAAATTCAAGCATTGCTGTCAGTAAGGAAACCAGGTGTAGAACGAAATTACGTGGCCAACCACCAGCACTACCACCAGCGCTACCACCAGCACTACCGCCAGCGTTACCACCAGCACTACCACCAGCACTACCATCGTCTCGCTCCTATCTCGAATCTCGTAATTACTTTTCGTACACGGTGCTGATCCTCGAGTGGTTCTTTTAAAAAATAAAAAAAAAGCAGACATTTTTTTCCGATGACTGTAATCTCGGAGGAAGGAAGTTGATCCTTTTTAATTACCTTCTTTTTCTTTTTTTCTTCTTTCATATTTATCAATTGATCTTTAAAAGGCTTTAAATATAAATCTTCTCTCTCTCTGTATTTTTGTTGTCGTTTGTTCTTTTTGTCGTTTATTTTGTTTTTCAAGCACGATCGTGTTTGAGAAAAATTCATACGGTTCATAAGTCCTGGCGGTAAGCAAAACGCGATATTTTATTGGTCAGCGAAAAGTTTTGTGGGCCACCGATCGCGCGAGAAGTATACCGAGTGTTCACCGAGCCAGCCACCACAATGAACATGTATCAAATTTATGGTGTACGGTTGAGGTACCGCATGGTTCCGCCCACTCACACTCACGAGCGCAACACTCGTGATTTATGTCTCTCGTAAAGCAGATTCTCCAGGCCTCGGCCCTCTCCCAGAAAGAGAACGAGGGGGCGAGGAGAAATAAAATATTATCATTTATTTCGCATTTTCCATCCTTGGGAGAATTCGATTGGACAAATCAGAAAAATCGTTTTCCTTTCAATTTGTTCACCCGACAAAATGATTTTCAAATGTTCGCTCCCTTAAGAGTATGAGTAAGAGGAACTTCTTCGGACGAAAGCAAAGCTTTCGCACGCAATCCACTCGAGTTACGGCCGTTCAACGATCCACGCT